GTTACATGGCTGTATGCTTAGGGAAGATGCTTTTTGGTAAATGATTAGGATTCTAGTTTGTGTATCAAAGCATGACAGCTGCCTAATTTTACTGAAGGAAAGGAGTTGAAATGATAATGGTGATAGTCTTTATGACACCTTTCATCCACTGGTCATTCTCACAGTACATGATTGGAGATGCTTTTTCAGGGGTCCCCAGGGCTTTTATCACTACCTCTATCAGCAAGAGCATGGTGTGTCTATCTGGGTTTATCTCTTTCCTCCTATAGGTCTAGTATATCAGACAGTTATAATAAACACATTGATTATTTGACAAAAGAATTTTTAAAAAGCTAGAGCTTGTATATAGGAGGGACATTTTCACATTTTGTTTTGTTTTCAGATGCCTACTACTTTTTTTTAAAAGCTTCTCTTTTACACTTCAAGATTAATTTAACCATCTGTAATTCTCTTCATAGGCCCTCCTCATAACTGGATGAAGGATTTTATCCTCACAGTTTCTATAGTAATTGGTGTTGGAGGGTGCTGGTTCGCTTACACGCAGAATAAGACATCAAAAGAACACGTTGCAAAAATGATGAAAGATTTAGAGAGTCTACAAACTGCAGAACAAAGCCTAATGGACTTACAAGAGAGGTGAGGAAGTAAAACAAGGTGTAAGTCTTTTTATTTATGTAGGAAAATACAATTTGTGAAAATGTGATGTGGGCACCTGTGTACACGCTTATATTTAGGTTGGTACACACATCAGGAATGTACAAAGGTCAGACAATTAAGTTCACGAACTTTCCACCCTGTGCTTACTTGGTAGAAAGTTTGTGAACTTAATTGGCCAAACTTCGTATGTATACTTCATTTCATAGTTTTACAAAAGTATTATATATCGTTATTGTTACAGACTTATTATAAAGGTATGTATGCACTAGGGAATAAATGGGTAGTGATCAGTGGAAATAAATCATACATAGGTGGAATTATATGTATAGTTAAATTATATTTTTAACAATATATGCATAATTATGTATTTCTTAAAAGTCTTTTTGCTGAAGTATTTCCCTGCTCTCCCTGTATTTTGAGCTCAAGATAACCAAATCCGCTGTGTAGCAGGCTACCTGATGTTTTTGTTCTCCACACTTAAGATGAATATAAAATGCTGTGAGTTTTGTTTGAAACATGTATCCTATTGTTTGGTACATATTTATTCTTCATTTAAAAAATGAAATTTGGGAAACCTGTGAGGCATGCTCATTGTGATTGTTCTAAAGGCTTGAAAAGGCACAGGAGGAAAACAGGAACGTTGCTGTAGAAAAGCAAAACCTAGAGCGCAAAATGATGGATGAGATCAATTACGCCAAGGAGGAGGCTTGTCGCCTGCGCGAGCTGCGGGAGGGAGCTGAGTGCGAGCTGAGCAGACGCCAGTATGCGGAGCAGGAACTGGAACAGGTATTTACGCTGGGAAAACAGAACTCTGAGGACACTCGTGTGGCCGGAGGAGGTTTTCGTTTTTTGTTCAGTCTCGCACATTGAGTTCCATTGTATGCTCTTCTTAAGTTAATAAAAGAATCATTTGTTCGTATTGTTAGCATTGACCAAAGTCCAGAAAGCAAAATAAAAAAGTAGTAACTAAAAGATAAAGTTGCCGTCACGTTCACTCATTCATGAAATCTTATCCCATTCCATGTTAGTTATCTTGAGTAAATTCAAGGCATTTAAGCTAACATCTAATATATTTCAGTTTCCAACTGTAACCTAGTAAAATACATCTCATGGTAAACTTCTCTGCAGAGGTAAGGAATGTCTATTAAACATCCATTTGGATCCCATTAAACCTACAAATTCTGAGGTTGTCTAAAAGATGTCCTTTCTAGTGTCTGCTTTTACTATGCATTTCCTCAAGGTGGAATATAGGTCTGCAGACATTGTACAGTCCTTTGGGAAAGGGGGGTGGTTCTGGGAGAAGTTCAGTATAGACCGATGGATTCATTTCTTTTTTATTCCTGCTTATAAACAATTACCTCAAATGGAACGGCTTTAAAATAACACATATTTATTACCTTACGGTTCTCGAAGTCAGAGTCTCAAATGGGCCTGCAGGGCTGCGTTCCTTCTGGAGGCTCCAGGGAGGATCTGTTTCCCTGTCTTTTCCAACTTCTAGGGGCCGCCTGCATTTCTTGGCTCCTGACCCCTTTCTTCATCTTCAAATCAGGTCACTTCAGGCTCTGCTCCCATGGTCTCATCTCCTTCTTTTGACTTTGACTCTTTCATTACTGATAAAGAAACTGAGGAGCAAAATGAGGGTGAGAAAACTTGCCGAAGATTAGAGAGCCCGCTGTAAAGCAGGCCCGGAACCTCGGTATTCTGCCTCCCTCTTAACTTTGTGCATTGTTGCCTTCTCAGTCAAGTGCTAACTAAGAACTAAAAATGATGTGGTGAACGAGTTTCAGGTCAGCTTCTGAGGAAATGTTCAGTGTGCGTTACTGCTTCCTTCAAGTCTGTCATTTTTGACTGACTTGCGCGAACATCTCTTGTTTGTTAACTGGTAACTTCTTTCCCGCATGCCCCAGATGTCTGTGTTTTGGATCTTTGCCCTGTAAGGAGCTTGTTCTCTTAAGTTGCCTCCTAGACATAATTTGCAGTCAGGCCCTATTTACCTGACAAACCTTCTCTATACAGAATGTAGTAAAGAACAGGGAGTTAACACAAAAAGGCCTACCCAGATTTATACTGTGTCCAAGAATTAAATAGGCTGCCCGTTACTCCTGGGAGAACTGCCTGTTCCCACTGAGAGGCCTAACCGTGGTTTGTTCCCAACACTCAGCAGAAAACTTGCTAGCTGTTTTCTGAATTTGGCAGATAAGAAGGAGCAAATCAGAAAGCAGTATGGGAATTCTGCTATGGAGACGTAACTGGCAGCAGTATTTTGCAGGTGAAGGCCTCGCAGTGAGGGAGAAGGCACAATGTAAAGCACTTGAGAATCACTAACATCCTCCGCTGAGGTTTTTGGCACAGAGACCTTACACTCAGTGGACCCTAAGACTGTCATCATAATGTCCCTGTACAAACTAACAATCCTAAAGAGATCCAGAGTCAGAAAGACGTGGTTTAAAGGAAAGAAATGGGTATTTCAAAAGAACTCTGTCCAACATGATAATAGTAATAAGCACAATTTTATGAGCCTTCATGTGTGTTCCTATGCATATTGCAAATGGTTTGCTCCTAAATTTTAATCTTCGCATTACATAGATATTATTCTCATTTATAGATGAGATATGTAAAGAGGTGAAATAACTTGCCTTAGGTCACACAGCTATTAACTGGCAAAGGCAAGATATCATGTATCATATTCCAAAGTCCATGTTTTCCCATCATGCTGTTGAAAGCTCTGTTTATATACAAGTGTTTAACTGGGAAATTAATTTTCGTATGCCATTGCATAATATGCAGTGCCACATAGTTTAAGGCATTACTGTATCTTGTCTGGGGGATAATCAGCTTCTCAAAGGCAGGAAAATCTGGTACATACCTTATATGGTGTTCTTTTCCCTAAAACAAAAACTTTTGGGTAAATAATAATGCCCCTTTATATTTTGTGTGGTTTAAGTTCTTTTCACTTAAGTTATTTTGTCCTTAAAGTCTGAAGAAGCCCAAAGTCAGGACAGGTCATAGTACACCTGTTCTTCATGAGACAGTTAGCCTCCGAAAGTAAAGAGTTTGCTCAAGGTCACCGAGGTAATAATAAAGTTGGGTCTAGAAGCCAGCTTTTAAGATATTTAGGCTGTTTTTTTCTGGAATAGCATGTATTTACTTATTGCTGTTTCATTCCTAACACACAAAAATTACATAAATAATTATATTTTTAAACAATTTAATAATTCATTATTTGTAAAAGCTATATTACTCACTTTTCACTGCATCTATTTTCCTATAAATAACAATGTAATTCAAACTGGAGGGTTGGAATTTAGGTCAAATGATAAACTTCCGAATAATAGCAGAGAAAATAGTTAAAATAGCTGCTATTATTGGAAGGTCAGAGTTTCTAAATTTTTGAGACATTATTTGACAGTCAATCAAAACATTGTTCAACCTCAGTTTATGCTAGAAATATATCAATTCTGTGTGAAATGTTTTTATTGAGCTCTTTTATGAGAAATTTATGGGTATAACATTAAGGAAAGTCTTAATGATTAAAGGGAAAAACTTGAGTGGCAGTTATTCAGATTCCCTGTATACTTCTTTGGCAAAGAAAATTGTATAGAAATTTTAGCCTTAAGATCTTGTAAGAAGAAGGGCCTGAGGCCTACACTCTGGTGTTCTATGGGCCTGCCTGTCACAGGACCTGAGCTCAAATTCTCTCTTCCTGAGAGATTAACAGGGACGCCACACAGCTTAGCCAACTGCGTTATTAAACAGGCTTGTCCCAAGCACACTGCACAGTATTGTCAGGGAGATGTTGCTTAGGATTTGTTTTCAGTATGTAAGTGCTATCTTATCCTGGCTTTGAATGTCTATTTTTTTAATTGTCTCCTGGGTGTCCCATTGTGAATTTTTTTTAAATTCTTGGAGTTTAAAAAAAATACTTTTCTACATAATTCTTTTCCTACAGTATCTGACAGCTATTCTATTTCTTTATCAGAAGTTTGTGTATAGTGCTCATTTTCATTTAGTCTGGCACATGATAAAGTTTATTTAAATAAGATGTGTTTGTTCAGATCAAACGTTCTTCTGCACATTAGTTTAGAAACGGAGTTTTCGCTTCGAGGGAAATTTATTTGCAGCTATGGTGTTCCAGCAGCAGGGTCCTCCATAGCTCTCTCATCGCTGTGTCCAAAGGTCTTGAGCGAGTGGGCATCTTTCCATAAATCCCATCATGTATCATTTCATATCCTGAGTTTGAACTCTTGCTCGTTGAAGTGAACCCTTCCTAGAATGGGTGGTCTTCATTCTATGTTCTTGACTTAGTGAGGCTTTCCTTAACAGTTTTTTTTCCTCAGCACTTTTAATACCACCTCACACAAGCTTTTTTCTTAGCACTTAATACCACCTCACACACTAAGCGCTTTAGTTTTCTGTTTATTGTCTGGCTCCTCTAAAGGGCAGCTGGAAGAAAGACTTGGACACTGAAGGCTGTGCATAGTTTCTCAGGCAATAATCAAGTCGACTGTCACTCAGATCTATTTTCTCAAAATTCACATTTGGCCTGCCAATGCTGATTTATCTACTTTCTGGTATATTAGAAGCAGTGAATTAAATAGAAGTGGTAAAAGACACTCCAATAGACAGATAGGCTTGTAACAGTGAAAACAACTGGCCGTAAAGAAGATGTCATGAAAAACTTCAAAATACAGTATAATTTAAAAAGTGAGCATATAGTTAAGGAGCTGTAGTAGGGTTTTATGAGAAAAGTGTGATCAGTTTTAGTTTGTATATGCCCTTTCTTTCTAGGTTAGTCTGGCTATGATACGATATAAAAATTAAACATTGCAGCTTAAGACACATATAAGCCTCCATCCTCTGGCTTGACAACTCTGCTTAGTGAATTTAAGATGAACTGAACACTTCAGCTTTAGTTTTAATGTTAGGGATAATATCATTTGGACTTTGTGATTTTAAAAGATACTTATAAAGATCATAATTAAAATGGTTTTTTCTTATAATTTTGGTACTAAAATATCTTAATTTCTTTTTAAAAATTTAAGTATCTTAAAGAAATTTCTCTCTCTCCTTTCCCCTTTTCCTTCCCCCCCCTCCCATCCCCCCTTGCCCAGGTTCGAATGGCTTTAAAAAAGGCTGAAAAGGAATTTGAACTCAGAAGCAGCTGGTCTGTTCCAGATGCACTTCAAAAATGGCTCCAGTTAACACACGAAGTGGAAGTACAGTACTACAATATTAAACGACAGAATGCAGAAATGCAGTTAGCAATTGCTAAGGATGAGGTACTCTATTATGTTTCAACACTTACTAAACTTCCAGAGGAATTAACCAGTTAGGATACAAAAATGAATAACGTTTTATTATTGCAGATTCCTTTCTTGAATTGGAAGTTATTGCATTCATTGACTCTCATTATCACAGGCTAGAAAGTAAAATTATTTAGAGTAGTATATACCTTTTAGAATGATCTCAGTGTCATTTAAAAATCACCCCTATTGTTATTATCATAAATGTTTTATACAGAGCTTTTCTCCTCTAGGTTGCTGCTACATATCTGATTCAGGTTAGTAGTTACTAGAAATTAATGTCTGACTTTATTAAATTGTGTGAAATAAGATTAAGTCTTAATCTGATTTCTAGTAAAAAAAAAAAAAAAAGCTTGGTTCACTCACTAACACTTCTATTACGGTAGGATATAGTGTCATTCTGTTCGTTTTAATAGAAAAGTCAGGTCTTTCTGAACCATAGAAGTAGAGAAAAATTCTCCAGAACAGCTTTGAATCGTATTAATTGGCTTAGGAAAGCATGCTTTTTTCCCCCTCATCTATTTTCTCTTTTGGAACATAGAGCTATACGTTGGCTAATAATTCTCCACTGGTTTAATGATTATTAATGTATTAAAACCAAAACAAACTTCATTCATATATGTGTGTGTGTGGTTTTTCTTTTTCACCAAACCTGTCCTTATTTTTCTCTCCGTTGGTTTCTAGGCAGAGAAAATTAAAAAGAAGCGAAGCACAGTCTTTGGGACTCTGCACGTTGCACATAGCTCCTCCCTAGATGAGGTAGACCACAAGATTCTGGAAGCCAAGTAAGAAGGGTGTTTTAGCTATTTGTTTATTTTCGTTGTGTTGAAATGTGTAATTTATATTTTAATTTGTCACTTAATCGTGTGTAATTACATAATTTAGACTCATCCTAAGTACTTAATTTCTTCCGGAAATTAGTTCATGGTCACGGTCTGTTCTTGTAGCTGCCTTTTATCAGTGCCGTAGTAAAGGCTCTTTGAAACAATAATTCCTATATTGGCTTTTCCAGGAAAGCTCTCTCTGAATTGACGACTTGTTTACGAGAACGGCTCTTTCGCTGGCAGCAGATTGAGAAGATCTGTGGCTTTCAGATAGCCCATAACTCGGGGCTCCCCAGCCTGACCTCCTCGCTGTACTCTGATCACAGCTGGGTGGTGATGCCCAGAGTTTCCATCCCACCCTACCCAATTGCTGGGGGAGTTGATGACTTAGATGAAGATACACCCCCAATAGTATCACAGTTCCCTGGTAAGTGGTGAGTTCAAAAGAGAGATTTGGTACGGTTTTTAAAATAACGTTGTACCGTGCCATTTATGGATCATTTACTTTGAAATCTATGATAAAACTTTTGTTCATTCTTTATTTTCTCCTTTTGTCATTTATAATTTGTGTTTACTGTTAGAGAATACTATATGAGGTGTGTGTGTATATATGGATACATATATACATATATAATAACACATCATACATGCTAAATCATCATTTTGTTTTGCTTTTTCAATTTTATCCTTTTATTGAAAGAGTATTCATGAAGCACTAAATCAATTTACGTTCATACAAAATAAAATTTTTATGTTTAGAAAGTTTCGTAAATTTTTTTGTTGCTAGAAAGTGGAGCTCTCCCAAAGGTGGTTTAACATGTGCAGATTTCATTGTATTCCTTTGTTGTACTCTATTCTTTGAAAACTTTGAAAATTTTTACATTGTGAAGAATACATTTTGGTAGAAAAGTGAAAATTGAGTATTTTAGATTTTATTAATAAATTTCAGAGTTTATTAATAAATATTTGGAATTTTTGCAAAGTTGTAGAGAGTTTGAATTTAAAATAGTGTATTTCATGTATGAGAAATCATTTGAAAAACTCTTTATCCTTGTTATTTTCTGACTGATTAACTTTCCCAATCTTCTGACTTTTTTGCAACTGTATAGATAGAACAGGATTCCAACGAATGGAGAACAGGATTTAATCATTTATTGGTTGAAAACTTACATGGAAATTTTCGTCTTTGAGTCAAATCATGATATTTGAGCATTTTTCAGTTTGAATTTTCTATTCAATTGTTACAAATTTCATGAAGTTATGATTTAGAAAGGGTTCTAATTTTTAAAACAGTTTTATGAAATAAAGCTCTAAATTTGTAGGTAAATAGTCAGTGACTGTGATTGTGTTCATTTCTGTGGTTTTAATTCTCTGGCTTAATGGCAGGCAGGTAAGGCAGGCAGACTGGGGAGGCACTCAATTTACAAGAGGAGGGAGGAGACGACAGACTGTGAATATAATGAACCCTGGAAGTGTGTGACCTCACTCATTTCACTGGCCCTATGCTGCAAGATAGTGATGGTTGCAAGTTACGGTACACCTAGACCTGGGCGGCTTCTGCTTTTTGAATATTGTCAGCTTGTGTTTATTGGAATTGCGTGCCCTGAACTTGCCAGATGCAACACTGATTCATAAGTAGATGATTTTGTTTGAAAACTATAGCTTTTTAAAGTTGCAATTTCTCCTTAGAATACATAATTATTCAATACCAGAAGTGTGCATGAAGATGTATTCCCTAAATTAATTAGATTATTGCTCTGCTTTTTTTTTTTAAGTACTTTTTTTGGAAGAAAAGATAATAATCATGTACATTAAAACACTTAACACTAAATAAAAATAATTAGCTTAAGTTTCCAGTGCTTGTGATATAGGAATTTGAACTTTTAAATAGGAAAAATGTACAAAAGTTGATTTTAAATTTAGTGTGATGTTTTAGAAATGCTATGCTCAGATTTATTATCTCTGAAAAATAACTTGTTCCAAAGGTTGTACTTGGAGAGCTCTGCCTCCACCTAGTGGCACAACAGTGACACTTCACTCTGCTTAGTTATAACAGCATAATTTCTGGTCCTGATAAAGATGAAACTCTTGGCAGTAGGGTGAGGGTTCAGGATAGGAGTAAGGAAGGCCTTTCATTATATACCCTTCTTCTGAGCAGTTTTAAATTTGTACCATGGGTATGGAAATTGTGTAAGTGTGAAATAATGACAAGGAAACATACCTGTGGTATGTTAAGATAGTAAAACTGCATACATAGCATAATATTGGCTATGTTTAATTACGTGTAAAGAAAAAAGAAAATACTATCAAAGGGACAATACTATCAAAGGTTAGTGCTGTGTCGGTAGGAGAAGAGATGATAGTTTGTTTTCCTTTTAGTACTTTTATAGTACTGCTAAATACTCATAGTGGGAACGTAGTAGCAATTTATTTACCATTTCTTATAAAGCCCTTCAAATGTACCTAAAAATACTGAAAACAATATGCTCACATACTATAAAGGTAAACAGATTTTAACATTTTGCTTTATTCATCTCTGTTTTTCTCTGAAAGAAACCATTACAGATACAGGTAAACCACATCACCTGCCCTTCCACTCTAAAGTTGTTAACCATTCGACAGCCTGTTATACTTAATTATATGCAGATATACCCATAAGCAATAGCTTTAGTTGTTGTTTAAAATTTACATTAATGTTATCAAACTCCTAGGTATCGTTTTGCAACTCTTTTTTGCTCATAAGATGTTTTAAAATTTTCCCATGTTTATATATAGATTAATTAAATTCACTGTAACCATTTAGTCTGAGTTAACCACAGTTTATTTATTGTAATAATAAATCACAGTTTATTTATCCGTTTTTCTACTGAGATAGGTTCTTTCTACTTTTTGGCCCTTACAAAACAATAGTGCAGTGAGCATCCGTATCTTTATCTCCATGCACATAGCTTTGAGAGTTTCTCTGGGTAGACACCTAGAAACCGATTGCTGAGTTGGTGGGAAGGCACCTCTCACTAGGCATTGCCAAGTTGCTCTCAGAATGGTGCTGTCACTTTACACACCCATCGTACCTAAGAGTGCCTGTCTGCCTGTCTCCTCACCAATCCTTGGAATGATCTGATTTAATTGTTTTGTAACTTGAATGGGTATTATATGATACCTTACTGTTATTAAAATGTTTATTTCCTTGATGACTTCTGAATTGCGTACCATATCATTTATTGGCATTTGTTCAGATTTCTTCCATCTGAGTAGCTTGTTCCTTCTTGCTATGGAATCCCTCCAAGATTTCTTACTGATCTGGAGGAGGTGGCTTTGTTTTGTTTTTCTGGTTATTTGAGGGTTGCAGATATCTTCTCCTAGGCTTGGCCTTTTCTTTCTTACTCTGTTGTGTAATTGATTTTCCTTTGTAACCATACAAGTATGAGTTTTTAAAAATTTTAATGACAAATTTATTAATGTGATTCTGCTTTTTATGTCTTTTTCAGATGATAGATTGTTGTTTGCGCCCCTAAAAGTTTTTAAATTTTGCTTTAATCCTTTTGTCTTTTTTGTTGTTGTTCTGTTTTCATTCTATTCCTTCATCTTGGACCTTCTTCTCTAATCCCTTAGTCTTTCTATCTACCTAGAAGTTACTTTGTTCATATTGTGAGGTTAGGAATCTAAAGACATCTCTTAATGTATGGATAAACAGTTGTCCCAGACTCATTCCTGGTCTATCTCTGCTGACTTGCGATACCACTTTTCTCCATAGACAGAAATGCTTCCAGGCTCTGTTTGGTTCTATTGGTCCTGTTCTGCTTTACTTGCTATTTATAGCTTCATAGTAAGCATTGGTGCTTGATAGGTTGAAATCTTCATTTATTATTCAAATTCAAAACTGCTACTTGGTATGAATTTTAGGATCAGCTTATGAAATTCCATAAAAATTTCTATTGGGCTTTTACTGGAATTTCTCTGAATTTATTGATTTATTTGGGAAGAAATGTTATTCATAAATTCCATTTGAGATCTGCTTTTATATTTTTAAGTAAAATTTATAATTTTCTTTGTATAATTTTTGCATATCCTTTTTAAAAGATTAATTTCTAGGTATCTTACAGCTTGTTTTTGGTAGTTACACATGTTATCTTTCTTAAAAAAATACTTCAAATTGCTTGAAGCTGATCTATTGAGAAATGCTGTTGATTTGGGTATACAGAAACATAGGATTCTCTTATGAGAGTCTTTTGGATTTATTTGGTGTGGACAGTAATAATGGGTTGTTTCTTGCTTTCTAACCCTATGCCTTTTTCCGCCTTATTGTCCAATCTAAGACGGCTAGTAAAATGTTGAATAAAAGTGGTGATTGCAGGCAATAGTGACTGCCATTTCTGACTTTGAAGAGAATGCTTCCAGTATTTCATCATGAAGTGTGATTTTTTTCTTTTTCTTTTAAAGAAATTTTGTTAGGGAGCAGTGTGTTTTTTCAGGACCCATCAGCTCCAAGTCAAGTAGTTGTTTCAATCTAGTTGTGGAGAGCGCAGCTCACTGGCCCATGTGGGAATGGAACCGGCAACCTTGGTGTTATGAGCCTGCGCTCTAACCACCTGAGCTAACTGGCCACCCCTTTTTCTTACGTTTTTGGTAGATTACTTTTAAGTTAAGGAAATTAATTTTTGTTATTTTGCTAAGTGTTTTTTTTTTTTTGCTAAATTATTATTTTTTTTAATTAATGGATTTAAATTTTATCAGCTTCTTTTTCTGCATAATTTAAGATGATCACTTGATATTCTGCATTTATTTCTGCTTTTATTTCCTTTATTGGGATTATTTTTTTGTTTGTTTTAATATTTAGACATGTATCTAATGAATCGTTAGTCCTTTTTTTCTTAATATATGATTTTATGGCTATGAATTTTCCTCTAAGCACTACTTTATTGCCTTCTCCTGTTCTATAGTTTTTTCTTGAGCTATTTTAAAGGAATTTTTTTTTTAAATATACCTTTTCACTGAGGACTGTAGCCCATCTAGGCCCAGGCTTTTATCCAGAACACTTACAATTTGTATCCCTTACCTCATGTGGGCCTAAGATGTCTTTTACATCCTCAAACTAAAACCCAAACCCTTAAGGTATTACTGAGACTGAGAACCTTCACAGCAGTTCCAGCATCACTCACAGGCCTATTAGTTCTTACTTTTATTCTCTCTGTTTTGGCGTCTGAGAATTTTCTCTTCTTCCTTGCAGACTCAGCTGTGCATTTAAAACTATTGTTATACTTCATTCATCATATCCAAGTGTTTGAGGGTATTCGAAGTGTGTTGTTGGGGGCTGGGAAATGGTGGTCAGGTAATCGTGGACTGCCTTATTGCTAGAACCAGAAATCCATATATTACTACTTTTGGTTGGTGGTGGTAGAGGGAATCCCTTATTGCAAAACAAAATTTTATCTTCTCTGCTATAAGAAAGCACACTTTGCAAAATAGGGTCATATTAAATTGTTAGGCTTCTGTATGTAATTATTGATATTAAAATGAAAAAATTATCTCAAAAATGAGGTTCTATATAGTGAACTTTAATGTTTTACTTAACTACTCTTACAAATCACAGGTGGAGCAGGTGTATGCCTTCATTTGGAATTTATAATAGCCTGATCATATCTCAAAACATATTCACATTATCTAAAGGAACGCTTATTACAAGGTCAAAGTGCACTGCTTTTTAATACTCTATGAGTTTTGTGGTGTTTTAACTATATGCAGCCCTGGGTAGGCCTCTTCAGGCAAAAAGGAAGAAGGCTTCTCAACTCCAAGTGTATATAACTCTAATATAGGGATTCATACATTTTTCCAGGCAGAAGACATGGCAACATATATAAGAAGAAAAATTTGGGAAAAGGTTGTAGAGTTATAAACAATTTCTAGATGTGACCTGTTAACTGTTGCTCATCTTTATGTTACATTCCTTATGGGATTACTTAGAATTTTTCTTAAACTATTTACTTCCTTCTTAAAACTTCTTCATGCAATACTTTTCCATATCTGTGAGTAATACTCCTTTTTACAAGCAGTGAATCCTGATTCTTCTCAGCCCTTTTTATGATACCTACAGTCAGGCCTGAATCTGGCTGCATTGTACCGTGCATTCCAGGTAACCAGTGACTGATGAGAATGACTGCAGCGTATGCTGAGAGTTGTAGAGCTTAAGTATCGGTGACACGCTGGCCACATTCTTTTGAGTATTGGTAGGATATTGTTTCTTTGGCAAAGTGAGAACATCACACTGAAGATTTCTGGGGTCTCTTCATTTTCTAACTTGTGAATTATAAGTGAGTGAGAAAACTCTAATGTTTGCGTACTAAATTACAAATATTTTTTTTTATATTATATACTTTGTGTTTGGAAAAAGCCTTGTACAGTATCGAGGAAGGTAGTCAAATATTCTGGAAATATTTCCTTTAATTTACCTCATTTTCTCCTTTTCAATCCATCAGGTTATTTTAGTGGTGCTTCCTGTTTGAATCATTCAGTGATTCACTCAGGAAAAGCTTGTTGTGCATCTACTTTGTGCCCAGCATTGTGCTAGTTGTTGAGATGCAGTGTTGAACATGATACATAATTATTGTCTTCATGGAATTTACAGTTTACTAGAGGACAAACAAGAGCAAAGCACTGAGCTAAGTTCTGTGATGGGAAAATATACTGTGGTATTGCCATGTGAGCACTGGGGAGCACACACTGACCCCCGGCTTGGAGGGGTTAGGAAACTGCCTGGAGGAGCTTCCGTTTAAACAAAGCCCTGAAATGAGAGGTTGAGGGAGAGATGGAGAAAAGAGGCATGCAGGCAAGAGAGAGAATATTATACTTCTGGGAGCTGGGAGCGGTAGAAACACTGTTTTTAGTGTTTCTATAACAGAGAAGAGGGACACTAGTTCCAAAATAGAGGTTAGATAAATAGAGCATTCCCAGTCGTCTTAAGGAGTTGGGCTTCATTTTAACCCTGAAAGTAATGGGGAACCATTTAAAGGTTTTAGGCAATAAAATGTCACATTTCTTCTTCATTTTAGAGCGATCATGCAAACTGTAGTGTGGAGAATAAATATGAGGAGAAAGATCAGTTATTAGGCTGGTTCAGTAGTCCCGCATAATATTGGGGTGGTGGGGATGTAGGCACGTGGACAGATTTGAGAGGCATCAGGGAGATAGAATTGGAAACACTTTATGGTTAACTAGATATGGATTATGATGGAGGAAGGGTCAAGAATGTGTTTCCAGGTCATATAATTGGGTGGGTGGTGTTGCTGTTCACCAAGATAAGGACACAAGAGGAGTGGGTTTGGGGAGGAACATGTTGAATGCAGTTCGGGTGTCTGTGGGGCACCAAATGTCCAGTAGTAGGCAGTTGGATGTAAGGTTGTAAAGTTTAGGAAAAGGATTAAAGCTGGAGTTACAGATTTGGGCTTCTATACACTGTAAATCATAATTGAAGTCACGGAGGCGAGTGACATTTCTCAAGATGAATGAGTGGGACAAGAATAGGACAAGGGCTGGAACAGAACTTTGAAGATGACAGGTAAAGGAAGAGGTGAGAATGTGCGATGAGAAGGCAAGGAAAGGACAACGTGAAAGTCAATGTCAGGTGCTGGTCAAATGTCAAAGAAGGACTGAGACAGTCGCTGAATTTAGCAACAAGAAAGTAGATCACAACTTGTTCCGAATAGTTGCAGGGAAATTGAATTGTAAGCACCTTAACAATTCTTTGACGATTGAGTAAAGTCGAAGAAGTGGAGAAAGTAACAGATAATTCCTTTTCTTAAAAGGGAAGGGTGGAGGAGGTTATTTTGTCATTGCTATTGTTTATCTGTTTGTTTTTTAAAGCATTGACTTTTAAATGCTGTCAAAAGAGAGAAGATAAAAATAAATGCAAGAAAAGGGATAGCCAACAGAGTAAGGCCCTTGAGCTTGGGGTGGAGAAGGGGACAGAAAAGTGGAAGGAACAGAAGTTGTGAACTAGAGAGGTAGAAGCTGCATCAGAATCTAAATCCATGTCTTGATTTATAATTTCAGAGATGGAGCAATTCCGAATGATGGCAAGACAAGGCATGAAAGTGGGTGGTGGAGTAGAGTAGAGGTAAATGTCTGGTGAGAAGAGGTGAAACCATAATTGGTGAAGGTGAGGGCTAGGTCTTAAAAATGAGATTGCTCAAGTCGATGGAAGGTTGGATTGGTAAGAGAGAATGACTGGGAAGTGATGAGTGGAGTGGAGGTGGAATGTTCACGTGGCTCGCTACTGTGAGCATCAAAAGGAGTACGTTTTATAGAGGGGTGTCGGAGGGAGGGTTGACAGACAAAACCGCGAGTGAGAAGGCCACCAACCCGCCCTTCTGACGCTGCAGTATATGAGGTCTACAGGAAGGAACAACTTCAGCTTGAGAAGGTTGTTCTTGGGAGAGCTGTGCTTCAATTAAGGCAAAGAAGTGGAGTTGAATGAGATATGAAGCGTGTGGAGGAGGTGTGTGAGCTACCTGCGTGGGGCTAGACTGAGACTGGTAGCGGAAACAAGAAAATCGAAGACTCCTGGTTAGTTCCACAATAATCAGTTTCCAAGAAGCAAGTTTTGGTCTGACCTCTGCCTGACTAGCTTTGAGACTATGTATGCAGTATTTAAATGATCCTTGATTTAAAACTTTTGAAGTTAAAATAAGTTGCACTATCTCAAGAGATATCTGTTGAAAAATCTAACCTATATTTTACCGATAATTTCCTTCTTTTAATGTTAAAATTCATTTTGCAGCAAAGTACAGATTCCTTATAAATACGCTGTATTGATTTTTTAATTTAAGGATTTGTTATATTGGGTAAATTTTTAAGTCTTTCTGGTTAGTAATAGCAAATTTTATCTTCAAGTCTCATTTATTTGTGTTCGTTTCTGTTTATCTTTAGACCTGCTTTCGTTTTTGTTACATTTCATTTTTTTTATTTCTTAACTTTACTGAGAAGCCATACAGGTGATGGAGGACGGTAGTAATTATACAGTTGCTTGCTTCAATAAAGGTAGATTACGTGGTGCCGTGTTAGCAACGTCAGCTCTGTATTGTGAGCATTTGTAGTGTGAATAACAGGAGCATGGGGTATTTTGAGCTCTTCGACTGATTTATGTTTGCTTTTCAGGGACCATGGCTAAACCTGCCGGCTCGTTAGCCCGAAGCAGTAGCTTGTGCCGCTCTCGCCGCAGCATCGTGCCATCCTCACCGCAGTCGCAGCGCGCTCAGCTGGCTGCGCATGCTCCTCACCCGTCACACCCGCGGCTCGGCGCCCACCACCCCCAGCACGCACAGCACTCCTTGCCTTCCCCTGACCCAGATATCCTCTCGGTGTCGAGTTGCCCAGCTCTTTATCGAAATGAAGAGGAAGAGGAGGCCATTTACTTCTCTGCGGAGAAGCACTGGTATGCGCAATGAATCAGCTACTGTGTATGTCGGGCAGGGCGTGTGGGAGGCGGGAGTGGGTTGGGTAGGAGTGATGGTGTGCGTCTTCTGTTGCTGCCTATGCAGTTACCACAAGCCTGGTGGCTTCAAACAACACCCATTTAGTAGCTCTCGGTTCTGTCCGCCAAAGCCCGCGCTTGGTGTGGCTGGGTTTTCTGCTCAGGGTCACGCAAGGCTAAAATCAAGGTATTTGCTGGGCTTTGTTCTTACTGTTCTCAGATTGGAAACAAAACCAGAGGGAATGGGCTGGATGCTCTCCATGATTCCGTGGAGCTCTCTGTCGTGTGATTCTTTAGTCACATCATCAGCAAATAACCATTTTTCATACGTAATAGTGTCATCTAGTGAAAGTAAGTTTTATGATTCACAAGAGATCGTTATAGCGTATTGCTAAGGAGATAGTGCACATGGCATATTTTCATTGCAGCCGGAGAGTTTGGTGCAGCTCTGTTTGGTTGGTACTTTATGATTAGCTTGTTTGTATAACCTTTGCAGTATAACTGTCGTCACTAGCAAGATGGCTTTCCTGACAAAACTAATTTTGGGTGGCTTATGGAAATTAGCTGGAAAACTCCAGAGCTCTGCTGTCCAATATAATTTTTTGCATTGATGGAAATGTTTAGTCTTCATTTCAAATAGCAATGTCAGAGATTCTCAGGTAGCTCATAAATATGAGAAGAATTTGGATTTCAACTCACCATTTTCAGTCTCTTAAGTGTTGAACCACTGGAATCCTTACAAAATAACAGCAACATTTACAATTTACAGATCTTTTATATTCTATGCATTATGCACACATATGTTCATGTAGGCCTCACCTTGAATTAAGCCTTGTTATACATGCATTAAACTTAATTAAATTCAACTACATGTCATTGTGGGGGGAAAAGAGAAACAGAAAATTAACATAAATGGTACACATAATTAAGTTCACCATTCCAAAGAATAAATGCTCTAGGAAAAATGGGGGATTTTAAGCTGTACTGTATGTGCACTCCAAAAGTTATGCAGAAGAAGCGACACTGCAGAGTATTATTTATTTCGGCATTAAAATGTTAGAACTAGAAGTAATGGTAGAGATTAATCAAATTATTTTACTTTAACAGACAGGACAATTGAGACCTGGTTAAATTAAGTGATTTGCCAAGATGGTACAGCTGATTAATGGCAAGACCAGGACAGTATTCCTCACTTAGATCGGTATTCTTTTCACTCATTTTTTAGACCCTAAGGACTAGTTTTTGAAATATTCTTATCCTAGCTTTGAATTTCACACACACAGTAGGCAAACCACATAGCACAATAGACAGTAAATTAATGAAATTGTAACTAAATCAGCTTGTGGCTCTGGAAGCTGAACAGCGTCAGAGAACAGTGGTATATACTGCGACTAATGGACTCCAGAAGAAAGCCTAGCAGAAAAGCCCCTGCCAGGGATGGAGTTTTGACTCGTGTCTTCCTACCTGAACTGCCTCTTGCCGCCTGAGAGCACTACCCGTTGTCAAATTGTAAAAGCATTTGAAAATTATGCAGCACATGTAACTGTGCTAAAAAGCGTTATTTAAGTCTCTCTTTGCCCAAGGGATTTCGTACCCTTCCATTCATTTATTACATAGTTACTGAATACCCACTGTGAGCTTGCCACTATTCCAGTGTAGACAATACAGAAGTGAGTAAGACTCCTTGTCCTCATTAAGTTTCCTTTCTTCTGGGAAAACTGACTATGAACAAGTTAACACAGAATATCACCATAGGTTGCGGTACATTCTGGGATGCTAAACAAAGATAGGTAAAAGGAAAGAGAATGCTGTTTTAGATAGGGTGGTTAAGGGTGGCATCTCTGGAGAGAGCATTTGAGCAGTGACCGGAATGACATGGGGAAGTAAGCCAGCCACATAAAGATGGAGGGGAAGAAAATGTGAGGCAGAGGAAACAGCAAGTGCCAAAGCCCTGAGGATGCCAAGGTGGCAGAGATGGCAGGGCGTGCGGCTAGCTGGAGGGACAGCGTGGACCTGATCACACGGGGCTTTGGACTTCAGCACGGACTTTAGCCTGTGTATGAGAGGAAGCATTGGAAAGCTCCGAGCAAGGGAATGATGCGCTCTGAGTGAGGTTTTAAAAACCACTTTAAAGGCTATATAGAGAAGTACATAGAAGAAGAGGGAGGAACTCGAATGGAAGCGGGGAGACCGGTAGGAAGCTGTTGCCCTCCTGGCGGTGACTTCCTGGTGGTTCAGGAAGAGGGCTGGCAGCCGTGGGGGAGGAAGAAGTGGGCTTTGAGGCACAGTTTGAAGGAACAGCTGATGGCATTTACCATATGCTGGCTTTGGCTTTATGAACTTTATTTTTTCATTCCTCTATTTCGCTCTTCACTGTGGAGAAAAGGGGGGAGGGGGGAAATCACACAGGAATAAATTTGTAAGAGTTTATTGCATGTCTGTGTTTTAAGTAATAGCATTATATCATTCCTTTCACCTCCCATTCACTTCCCCACGCCGTTGTACCTCAACTCCCTTCCCCCTTTTTATAAACTTGGGAGAACTTATGTTTTCGCTTAGTATATTTCTTACTTCCTTTCTTAGGAAGCGATATTTCATCAACTTAATGACTAAAAATTAAAGGGCGAAGCAATGACTAAAATTCATGTTTTCAAACTTATATGTCAAGTATGTGATTTAGGAAGAAAAATTCTCATTTGAAACAAAACACAAAAGTGGCCGACAGAAAAAAACCTGCGAAATTGAAACATTTTCATTTCTCTGACAATTGAAGAACGTGTAACACAGTGTTTCTTGGATTGGAAGATTTCACTATTATAGTTCATGTTAAACATGAAACATTGAGTTTTGATAACATGCATTATTTAAAGTAGTGATTTTCTAATTTTGTTGACATGTGTATACATTTTAGCATTTACCCCTTTTACATTTTGATAGATGGAATGATGTAGGTGGTTTTAATTAGGATTGGAGTGTCTGCTGGTACTTTTAACGCACGGATTTATAGTTTCATCTTTGCCTCTATCTCATCCAGGGAAGTGCCCGACACAGCTTCCGAATGTGACTCCTTAAACTCTTCCATTGGGAGGAAACAGTCTCCCCCTTCAAGCCTTGAGATATACCAAACCTTGTCTCCTCGGAAGATATCAAGAGACGAGCTCTCTCTAGAAGATTCCTCCAGAGGAGATTCGCCCATAACTGCAGACATCTCTCGGGGCTCCCCTGACTGTGGAGGTCTGACAGAAACAAAGAGCATGATCTTCAGTCCCGCAAGCAAAGTGTACAACGGCATCTTGGAGAAGTCCTGTAGCATGAACCAGCTTTCCAGTGGCATCCCGCTGCCCAAGCCTCGCCACACGTCCTGTTCCTCAGCTGGCAACGGCAGTAAACCCGTTCAGGAAGCCCCTCACGTTGCCATCCCACATGACCTCTGTCATAATGGAGAGAAAAGCAAAAAGCCATCAAAAATTAAAAGCCTTTTTAAGAAGAAATCCAAGTGAACTGGCTGACTTGATGGAATTCCGTACAAGCGGCAAATCTAAACTCTTATCTCCCCCGCCTCACTCCCCCTCGCCCACCTTTTTTTTTTTTTTTTTTTTTCGATTTTAATTTTAGGAATGTAACTCCATTGGGGCTTTCCAGACTGGATGCCATAGTGGAATGCCCTTCGGGGCAGCTGTCTACTGTCTGCTTATTTAAATGACTCTCTAACCAGTTCATCAAGCCAGTTATTACTGAAAAGTCATTAAGAGAAGAGACAGTTTACAGTCCTTTCTGCCTATTTATTTCTGCTTTGTTATTAGTGATGTATATACAACATTTTGTTGAAAGCCACTATGGACTTACAAGCTTTAATGGACTAGTAAGCCAGCATGGGCTTGCCAAAACCTCTTGTTTACCAGAGCATCTTCTTATCTTTCCACAGAGCTATTTACATCCTGGACTAAATAACTTAAGAGAAGTAAAACTAATTGCACTACTGTTTTCCAGACTGGAAAAAAAAAAAATCTCTGCAAGTGAAACTGTATAAAGTTTATAAAATGACTGTGGATAGGGGACTGTTTTCACTTTTAGATCAAATGGGTTTTTAAGTAGAACCTAGGGTTTCTAATTGACTCGATTTCTGGAAATGAAAACCCACGCTTTTATTATGGGAAGCTTCTTTCAATGCATTTAATATTATAAAGTTTCAAGTCCTGCTGTAAAGATCATGTTGTTTTGTTTTTCCCAGGGCTTTCACTGTGATTTACTGCACTGCAGGCTGTATGATAAATATAAATAATTTAAAGAGAGAAGGCTCTTGATTCCTTATGCAAGTGGAAGTTAAAACTTGATTGAAGGACTTCAAACATTCACAAACATTCACAAGCTTAAACTGAGGTGGGGGTTGTGGGGATTCAGACATTTGTTTACAGACTTTGAGTAACTGCAAAGGATTTACGGTTTGTGAAAAATTTGTACTGTGGAAAAGATAATAAATCGGAGACATTATTGTGTGGGGCTGTCTGATTTTTGTTGAGAGCACTCCACTAAAAACACTACAAGTTTCCTGGAGACCTATGGAAGCTGTCTTGTTGCTTAACTGCAATATAAGAAAGAAATAGTAATGTTTTGGAAGTAAGTTGTCAACAAAATTTCTTTCCATTTTATATCCTGTGTCATATTTTTATGTAGTTTGAAATGTTTAAATGTTCTAATACCAAGATTAACAAATATAAATTTATGGTGCATTTAGATTGTGTTGTATTAATTTGTAAAGCTTGGGGTTCATGAAACGGACAGGTTGTCCTATGGGTAGTTTTTACTGTGAAGATTATCTCTTAAGAGCAAGAAAATACATTAACATTTGGGAGTTTCTGCTTAAACATCTTTTAAAAATTCGGTCATCAATGATCTGGGTAATACAACGTGGGTGGATGTTTGAACAACTGATAACATAATAGCTAGAATAACCATTATGGCTCAACTACATAATGTCCAACCCAGCCTTGTTTAGATGAAAATGCTGACTGATAAACGGGAAGTTGCTTTGAGATTTGCTCCAAAGAAATACTTTATTAACAATATGAACAGTTTCCTGAAGTGTGTAAATTTTGATTATTTTTTTTAAGACTGTTGTTAAAAACTGTTAACGTCTTGGATGCTATTTTTATACATGGCTGTTTATATTTTTAATAGTGCTATAAGGGCAAAAATTGATTGACTGAAACGAACATAGTGTTTTGGACTAAGTATAAGGTAAAATAATCTGAAAGGTCAAGAGTTGAGGAACATAGGCTCTTAAAGCTGTTCACGAAGAGGAGAAGTTTCTTCTGGAAAGTGTCTTCAGAGTGAAGAGAATGCCTTATCTTTTTTCTCCTTCTTACAACCAGACAGTTTTCCCTTTGAAAACTGCAGAAGGGATAAGAACTTTATAGGTTGCTGGCTAGAGAAGGTAAAAGCCGCTGGAGCACGGAGTGAAGCTGGGAGGAGGAATAGCTGTAGGAGCCCCAGCAAGGCTCGCTGCTTGTCTAAGATGAGAAGGGAATTTGGGATCAGAACCACAGGACGCGAGAACCGGTGGTGTGGTTGGGAGAGGCTGGCCCAAGTACAGGGTGCACCATCAGAAGTCAGAAAATGCATCGTTTGTGCTAAATTTCACACCCTCGTTTATAAAAAAATTCAACCAAGGGATACTTCCTGTTTTTTGTTTCTTGTAATATTTACTTTGTATCAGTGCACTGCTCTATATTTGTAAATTCAACAGAAAGTAATTGAGTTTTGGAAAGCCATGATAATTTCTGTTACATCATTTACATGTGAAGAATTGGGCATTAATATACATTTTTTTTTAAAGATTTTATTGGGGAATTGGGGGAGGGGAACAGCGTTGGGGAATCGGGGAAGAGGAACAGACAAGTTGCTGTCCTTTTGTTCTTCAGTCTAGTTGTGGAGGACGTCGCTTCACTGGCCCATGTTGGTATTATCATTGCGCTCTTCCTGGGTGAGGCAGATCGGTCGCCGGCCTCTGGACGGCTGCTCACGGGGGCTCTTGGCAGCTCACACCGGCTGCTGGCCGCTCACCTGGCTGCCAGCCACTCACAGTAGCTTATGGCAGCCCACTCCAGCCCCACTGCAGCCCACATCATCGCCGGCGACTCACTGCAGCTCAACTCCAGGTCGAGCTGTTGTTCAGCATCGTAGCTGTAGAGGGCGCAGTGTCACTGGCCCTCATGTGGGATCCGAACCAGGGCCCTGCTGCTCAGAGCTGGCGTCCCAAGCCAGCTCCTAACCAACATGCCACTCGGCCGACCCCAATATACACTTTTTAAGTTACCTATGTATTATTACCTTATTTTACACTTATAAAACCATGGTATTTTTCTAGTGTTTAAAGCAATACCTTCTTACTATAAAAACAATTCATGGTAGAAAACTATAAAGAAGGAAAGCAATAGCAACCAGGTCTAATTCTACGGCCCAAATAATTGCTTCTAATATTTTGGTATGTTTTCTACTAGATCATTTTCTATATATTGATGGTATATATTTATAACATGATTTTTCATTTAATATACGCATTTCTCCAACATTAAGAACTCCATAAATAACATTTTATTGACTATAATATGCCATTTTTATGTATTAGCCAAATCTCTCTAATCATTTTGTTATTAATCATTGGGCTGTTTCTAAAATTCTGAGATGTGGATTAATAGCGTTTGACATTTACTGAACACTCTGTGTTACAGGCACTGTTCTAAACTCATTAATACATATTTTCATTTAATCTTGACACCAACCTTGTAAGGTAGGTACTTTTTTTTAATCTTTGCTTTTTAAAATTACTGTTTTACTGATGAGGAAACTGAGCCCAGAAAATCAATAATTTACTGAAGGCCACACAGCTAGTAAGTGGTAGGACCATGTTGTTAACTTATAAGTTATGTCATATAAAGCCTGGTCAACATTTTGATTCCTTAGAATATATATTTTTTTAGAAGTGCTTAGAAAAGCATAAAAATACTTTTAGTTTATAAGTACATATGAATCTATGTACACACATACAGAGTCGTACATACTGGAGTGTAACTACTTTTAAGGTTCCTTATCCACATAGCCATGTTTATATCTCACCCAATACTTGAGTGTATGAGCACCCTTTTACTTCACATCGTCATTTCTTAATTACCAGTTGGTTCAAACTTTGCTAACTTAATAAATAATGTCTAGTATGGTTGGAAAGTTTTCATGTTATATTTTTTCATTTCAGTGAGGGGTCCGTGTCTTTTGCCCATTAAGTTCTTGGGGTCTTAGTGTTTGTCTAAGTCTTTTACACCATCTGTCAAATGTAGCTATTCTTGTGTTCTTTATTTACCAGATAAAACTGATTTTTTAAGTCATACGTAGTTTTCATTTTTATTTTTTTAAAATTTAGGTCTTGAATGAGAGAGTAGATTTACCCCCAAAAAATTACATGTTAGAGACAATACAGAATCTACTTAATTCATTACACAAATGTTTAATAGCCTACCATGTACCACACATCATGATAAGCTCTGGAAGTACAGAGACTAATGGGACAGGTACCTGCCCTAAAGGAACTCAATATCTAATTGGGATGAGAAGGAAAACAAAAACCCTTATAATAAGGGCTATAATGGAAATAGAAACTAAATGTTGGGGAGATAGGAGCTAATAGGTGGAGGGAGTATGTAGCTCAAAAGTATAAAGAATAATTTAAAGGCGCTAATTTGCTAAAGATGCGGCGAGAACTGCTATGGCTGAAACATACAGGCCTGGGGGCAAGTTAGTTTTTGGGCTTCTACTGAGTAGTAGTCTAGTTGTAGCAAGTGCGTTTGCAATTCCTGAGTTCTAGCCATAGCTGTGAGGGCGCTCATTTTGGGCTAAATTGTTTGCCAGAGAGAAACAGCATGTGAGCAATCCCCCGTCAGCCTCACATCACTGATAAAAGACTCCTTCCTCACATCCCCAGCCCTCAAACAGGACACTCTCTGTTGAACGCATCTCCTCCAGGTTTACCCAGCTCGGCCTGATCCTCCCTTGAATCAGTTGGTGTCAAGCGGGCTTCAGGCCAAGTTTCAGGATTTACCTTGGTCCTGTGATTGGGATTTCTGGAAGTTACCTACAGGTCTCCGAAGTGGCCCTTGAGCTTCGTCCGTGTGACAGTGTTTGCTGTGGGCCCAGCCAGGACATTGTAGGGGAGCCTCAGCCCAGATCTTCATTTCTTGCCCGTGTGGAGGGATTGAAACAATGCCCAGGATCCTTTCATGACTTATAGAGGTTTGCCTGCCAGGTTCTCCATGTATCCTGATGTTCCATTTTTTACCGGATATGTTGCAATGTCTTTACCAGTCTTCAAAAGTGACAGAGAGAGAGAGAGGGAGGGAAGGGGGGTAGGAGAGGGAAAAAAGAGAGAGAGGGAGAGTACAAGAGTGTAAGCTCGCAGTGAGCTGAAGGTAAGGCAGGCGGTTCCATCACCTTATGAGAGCAGCTCTGCCCGTGCGTCCCAGGGAGCGCAGTGTCTCAGCCATTCTGTCCCCAGACCTTGCGCAGTGGCAGTGCTCCTGACTCCTGTCCCACATTCCTCCCAGTTTGCCTCAGGCAGGCTCTTGTTCCCTGTAAAAGCAGGACTCTTGAGCTGCCGTGCAGAAGCCCGCAACTGATCTGCCTCGCCCGGGAAGAGCACAATGATGGTGCCAACTTGGGCCAGTGAAGCAACGTCCTCCACAACTAGACTGAAGAACAAAACGACAGCAACTTGTCCGTTCCCCTTCCCCAATTACCCAGCGCTGTTCCCATCCCCCCAATTCCCCAATAAAAATCTTAATAATAAAAAAAAAGGACTCTTAAATCTTATCTGGGTCAGAATTGTTTTCCAGCTCTTGCTTCAGATTGCCACATTTTAGTTTCAAATAGCAGCCGTCCCAGTGCAGCAGTTCTGTTAGGAATATCCTGTGTTTATTTCTTAAGTGCCACCTCTTTAACGGAAGCATCTTAGTCCTAAAATACGCACGTGCGGGAATGCTAATTGCTGAACTATCACAGACGTGTAGTTCCTGGGACGTGATGGCACTTGTAGGGATTCTAGGGAGACAAGGATGCACCACCTAGGATCTGGAAAAGGCTTCTAGAATACGAATGTGGCTTTTAGGTTTTGTTTTTTAAATACCAGTTATTCAACTTGTATTCTTCTGGAAAAATGTTTCTGTTAACACTCAAGATGTGCATCTGTAGCCAAAGATACGGTGACAAGAAATTAAAAGATGGGGGGGGGGTTGGAGGTGGATAAAAATGAAGCCTTGGTACAACTGTGAACTACTGTACCTGAGGTTGCCTCTGGCCTTTAAAGGTAAGAAGACAAACCTGGAAACAGGATGGGCTTGGGGACTTGGGAAAGGAGGCGGGGTAGGGAGGGAAAGAGTGCGTTTATTGTCAAATGACCAAATCTTGTCCCTTTAATCCTTGAGTCTCAGCTAATGCCTGTCTCCTGCCGGGGCCTTTCCTTCTTCATTTCTCATTTTACTCAACAAGCTAATAACCCAGCCTCACCCCTTTCATCTTATTAGCGAGATTTCGTAGCCACATGATGGATTTTCTCTGATTAAAATCTTTCTGTGCTTTTCCATGGCCTGTGGAGAACACATAAGCTGGACAGCAACTAGCAAAAGAGCCTGATGCCCTGGGCCCTGCGTGCCCTCCACCTCGTGGCCCGCCATTACGGACATAAGCCT